CCCCATGTTAAGTAACGACAGCTGGGCTGCAGAACTCCCCAACCTCCGACGAAATTTTTGAGAATCAGGGTTGATCTAGCATTAACCAAGAAGCAACTTTTACCTTTTTGGGGAAGTAGTTCCTAGCGTAGTTCTTGACCTGCAGGGGACTCCTTGTGGGGATTAATCGAGCTATCTCAGTCCATCGGTTACCGTAGTTCCTCTGCACACACACACACACACAAATATGTTCAGAAATAGAGGACTGTCAATAACAAAGTTGACCTTTTAAAATAATGAGATGTCACAGTAACTTTTTCAGAACTGAAGCACTGGCTCTTGAGTCATTTCAAAAAGATTGTACAACTTTCGTCTGCTATGATGTCATCTTTTCTACACTCTAAGGCGCTGCAGCAAGGTGACATGCTACGGCAACCGGCCGTAGCATATGGCTAAGTCAGGGTACAATGCGCAGCCAGCCTCCATGGACTAGGAAGACCCTCTCTGGAGGCACTGCAGCAAGGTGACATTTGCTACGGCAACTGGCTGTAGCATATGGCTGAGTCAGGGTACCATGCGTAGCCAGCCTCCATGGACTAGGAAGACCCTCTCTGGACATATAAAAACCGGCAACCGGTGAAGTGCGAGGGTGTGCACACAGGACCCACTACAGCAAACAAAAATTACATGAACACGTTCACAAGTACTCCATGTAATCCTTACAGGTTTACAAATCTTCCAGCTTGAAGTGGTCGACAGGCAAAGAATGTGGCCAGAGGCTCCTGCAGACTGTCTGAATTTTGGTGGAAGAGGTTCGCTTTTAGTAAAGTATTTCTGTTAATGTCAACACTATTGGTTGCCTTTACTCACATATCCTTGCTCAAACTGAAGCCTTTCGTGAGGAGTCCATCGTAGATGCGGGGAAGACTTCTTCTTATTAAGCCTAAAAAGTCACAGATAAGAAAAGCTACACAACACTCGTAATCAAAACGGATTGACAAGCAGAAATAAATGGCGAGAAGATGTTAAACAACAACATTTGTCTGACGGTCAACTTGCAAGTCGAGCCCAAATCAAAGTCAATAAGATGTGAGAAAAGACAGTTCTTTACCACTACC